GGTCCTGGACCTCTTCTGAAGGCGGGCGGGGGGCGAACGTCTTTGCTCCCCCCGCCTGCCTTCAAAAGCCCTCCGGGACAGCTGAGAAACGTGCCGCCCGGGGCGATTTTAAACCCGCTGTCCCGGGTTTTTTTAAATGCTGCCGGGCGTCAGCGCTGCCGCCCGGCAGCATTTTAAAATCGCCCCGGACAGCGGAGAAGTCCCCCGCTGTCCCGGGTTTTTAAAAAACCTCTCCGCCCCCCCCGCCAGGCTTCGGAGCAGCCTTCCGAAGCCTGGCGGCGGGAGGAGGTCCGAGGACAGTGGGGAAGAGGCGCTGCGCTTCCCCGCTGTCCCGGAGATTTCCCTATGGGCTTTCGTCTTGCGAAGGAAGCCCATAGGGAAATTGGTTTTGCGAAGCGCCTCCGCGACGGAAAACCCTTTCGTCTAGTGGGTTTTCTGTCTTGCGAGGCGTTCGTCTTGCGGGGCACCACTGTAGTCAAATACACGGAGGAGAGGGAAAGTGACGGCTCCTAGCCAGGAGGGCTGTGCTGTGCCCTCCAGATGCAGGTGGTGCTGTGGGTTAAACCACAGAGCCTAGGACTTGCTGATCAGAAGGTCGGTGGTTCAAATCCCTGCGACGGGGTGAGCTCCCATTGCTCGGTCCCAGCTCCTGCCAACCTAGCAGTTCAAAAGCATGTCAAGTGCAAGTAGATAAATAGGTACCGCTCCAGCGGGAAAGTAAATAGCGTTTCCGTGCGCTGCTCTGGTTCGCCAGAAGCAGCTTAGTCATGATGGCCACATGACCCGGAAGCTGTACGCTGGCTCCTTCGGCCAATAAAGCGAGATGAGCGCCGCAACCCCAGAGTCATCCATGACTTGACCTTCTGAATATCAGTTGCTAGAAACCACAGGAGGGGAAACTGCTGCTCTCATGCTCAAATCCTGCTTGCCGGTTTCCCACAGGTATCTGGTTGGCCACCATGAACACGGGTTCCTGGATGTGATGGGCCACTGGGCTGGTCCAGCAGGCTCTTCTTATGTTCATATTTGCCCATCCCTGATCATAGAATCATAGAGTGACGGGTGTCTTATTAAAGAGGGATGTGACTACCAATGAGAGAGGGATGATTTTCCTGCCAGAGCTGTGACAGGAGGGCTGATGCTCAGAGCAGAAGGGAGAGCAGAGCAGGCTGTGGCTGTGGGTGTCTCGCCGCTTGCGCAGGCTCTTATTAGACAGATAATTTCCTTGGTTTGTTTTTAATCTATTCGGCTCACCTGCTTCTCCCTTCTGCCACCAGTCGCAGAGCTTTTAACTCGATTCCCTCATGTGAATCCTATTCCTCTAGTAGGTATCGGAACCAGCTGCCATATGGCCGCAGTCTTCATGATTGCCTGGCACGGCACAGAAGCTGAGATTGTGTGGCTTGATCGAGGCGACATCTCCCTGACACTGAACAAACGGCAAGCGGTGTCTCCCTAACGTTGTCTTGGGTGACCAACCTGTGGATGAGTTGCCTGGAGGACCATAAAAGTCTATCATGCCTGGGATGTTCTCGGAGGTGCCCTCTCCCCATTCCTCGCCCGATCCTCTTGCTGACATTTTTTTCTGAGCTGAGACTGGCAAGCGTGAGCTCCTGACGGTGTTTTCCTGCTGGCATTTGCTCCCACCACACACAAACGCACATACACAACAGAGGCTGCCGGCATTCTGCTTCCCCGCAGCCTCTCTGGAGACCCAGCATTTAAAATTCTCTCTTAAGCGCAAGCGGGGGGGGGGGGGGAGCTAATGGGATATTGGCTTGTAGCAAGAAAGGGCTGCTTTGCTCAAGTACGTACACCTGATGCTATCAGTCAAATCTAGCTGCAAAGTGCAGTAGAACAAGAAGTACTTTTCCCCATTTATAGATTTCCTTGGAACGGCGCCATCCTGCCCCCTTTGCATGCTGACTTTCTCGGAGCTAATAAAGAGCCAAATGTTGAGGCCAGGGAGCAAAACTTACTCTGAAATGGATTCACTATTCATATATATGATACCATATATATATGGTTTTTCAAAGTACAGTTTTGCAGTCACCTATACGACATATGAGGGACGCGGGTGGCGCTGTGGGTAAAAGCCTCAGCGCCTAGGGCTTGCCGATCAAAAGGTTGGCGGTTTGAATCCCCGCGGCGGGGTGCGCTCCCGTTGCTTGGTCCCAGCGCCTGCCAACCTAGCAGTTCGAAAGCACCCCCAGGTGCAAGTAGATAAATAGGGACCGCTTACTGGCGGGAAGGTAAACGGCGTTTCCGTGTGCTGCGCTGGCTTGCCAGATGCAGCTTTGTCACGCTGGCCACGTGACCCGGAAGTGTCTCCGGACAGCGCTGGCCCCTGGCCTCTTAAGTGAGATGAGCGCACAACCCCAGAGTCTGTCAAGACTGGCCCGTACGGGCAGGGGTACCTTTACCTTTACCTTTATACGACATATGACATAAAACATACCCTCCAGACCAGGAGAAAACAAGCATGCCACCCTCCTCTTCCACGTGATAGCCTTTAAGATATTTGAAGGTGGCTCTCATATCTCCTCTCAGTCTCCTCTTTTCCAGGCTAAACATACCCAGCTCCTTCAACTGTTCTTCATATGGCATGGTTTCCAGATCCTTGAGCATCTTGGTTGCCTTCCTCTGTACACCTTCCAGCTTGATGTTCACAGGATCCGAGTCAGTTCCTATGGAAAGAGGCGGTCCTTGAGGTTTTGCGGTCCTGAGCTATTTGAGGCTTTATAGTCTTTATGAATTCTGAATGTGGTTCTGATCTGCAATGGAGAAGAATAAGGTTGATTGGAGTGTGCCACTTCAGACTACAGCTGGGGGATACCAGTCTTTGAACGCTCAAAGGGGAGCAGGAAATGTACTCACAGAACATTCACACACCGAGGAGAAAGAATTTGGCAGGAAAATGTGATAGGCCTACCTGCAGTCTAAAGTGGTCCAGAGTCATTCTGCTTATTCACAATAACAATCGTAATAATAATTCTGCATGTGTACGTCAAGCCCGAATGCTCGGTCAAATCAGTCATGTGCAGTTCTGTCTGCATCACCTGTTCCCATACAGGTTTCGGTGCTGAGGTGCTGAATTCATTTGCGCCTGAGTGCATGTGATGTTCTTCTCACCCTAACTCTGGCTAGATGCTCATAACTTAGAAACAGAAACATCAAAGTTTGGGAGAGGGCAAATTATTTAACTTTCATATTTGAGCTTCAGAGGGGACTTTAATTGGGCCTGTATTGCTTCTAATATCATAAGAATCCATTGAAACCAGCCTTTGAAGGTGTGTTGCATTAGTTTAATGGATTATAATCAGCAAACTTGCTGGAGCTCCTTTTTTATTAACCCTGGGCCCCTCTAGCTACATGGGTTGTGAGATAAAAGCCATAATTACTTCCTTCCTGGGGAACTGCCAGCGGTCCACTGAGAGACGAGTCTTTATTTATGTTGGATACAGCTGGGAAGGATGGATGGAGAGGTGGTCATTGCCCAGCTTTAGGTTCTTCTATCCTTGGAGAACTTTCAGAACCTTTTTCATCACTCTTCGCGCTGATCTTCTTGGCATCTGCTCTGGTTCCTTAAAGAAAACGGGTGTCTTTTTATTGCTGTGTGGTCCAACCAATTAGGGATCCCATAGCTAGTATGGCAATGTTATAATGCTATGTACCAATTGAGACTTAGCTACCTGATGAAGTCAAGTCATACGGCTTAGGTCCAAACTATCTGAAAGACCAGATTTCCTGGTTGGGTTTTGAGGTCCTTCTCTCAGTCCTGCCACCCTTACAGGCCTGCTTGGTATGGACGGAGGAGAGGGCCTTTTTGGTTGCTGCTCCCAGACTTTGCAACTCACTTTTTAGAGAAGCTAGACTGGCTCCCTCCTTGTTATCCTTCTACCGGCAGCAGGCTTTTGGGAGCAGAAAGCTTTTTGGGAAAGAGCTTGTGCTGTGTTGTTCTATTCTAATTATCTGTATGGTGTGTGTGTGGTTTTAATTCTACAATTGCTTATTTTTTATAATGATTATTTTTTACTATGTTTTACTATGTTTTTAGCTCTTCTTTTTATCTGAAAACTGCCTTGAGTCCCTGGCAGGGTATAAATAAATATACATAATAATAATGATGTAACCCTATCTGAGTGAGGGTTCTGTTTTCTGTCCAATTTCTGAGTGGGTGAACACTTCTTGCCCACTTCTGCAGCTGCCCCAAAGTTTGGCGTCCCATGACATGAGGAAAATAAAATCTCTTTAGAAAACAGCCTTGAAGACTTCTAATGCAGACATATCTGAAATCTATATGTAAGCGGTTGTATGAACTTCTGTTACTTTTCCTTAGATGTTTCTGCTATTTTTGTTCGATGTTATTTTTTGTGTGGTTGCGGTGTTTTTTCTCCAATTGTAAGTTTTTAAAGTTGTTTTTAATGTCATGTTTTTAATTGTTATCACCTGCCCTGGGACCTTAAGTGAAGGGCAGGTAATAATAATAATAATAATATCCTTGGTAAAAAGATAAAGGGACCCCTGACTGTTATGTCCAGTCGCAGACAACCCTGGGGTTGCGGCACTCATCTCGCTTTATTGCCGAGGAAGCTGGCATACAGCTTCTGGGTCATGTGGCCAGCATGACTAAGCCGATTCTGGCAAACCAGAGCAGTGCACGGAAACACCATTTACCTTCCCGCTGGAGCGGTACCTACTTATCTACTTGCACTTGTGTGTTTTTGAACTGCTAGGTAGGCAGGAGCAGGGACCGAGCAACGGGAGCTCACCCCATTGCAGGGATCCGAACCACCGAACTTCTGATCGGCAAGCCCTAGGCTCTGTGGTTTAACCTGCAGCACCACCTCTCTGCAAACAATTGTTGGAGCAGCTCTGGTGCTGATCTTTGCCCTAATGAAAGCAAACCAGGCAAGAGTGTCACAGGACCTGTTGCTACCTCTCTGCTGTCTTCAGGCACTAACTTCTCAGGCCTTCTTCTGTGTTCCCTTCCCTCCCAGGTGCACAAGGAAGGAGCAATGTGAGCGGTCCAGAGAGCCCCGGAGGTTTGCCTCGGAGATGCAGCAGTGTGTCCGACTGACCGTGCACCCCAACAACATCTCCGTCTCACAGTATAGTGTCATGGTAAGGGCAGAGGCCTTATTCTTCTACGCAAAACACCCCATTTCAGCTTCCCCTGGCCTTACCAACATGTTTACGCCCCATTTGACCTGTAGGCTTAGCAGCACGTCGAGTTCCGCGTGGACGCGAAGCACGTACTTGCATCCCCTCCAAGCGCCCCTGTTTTCCAGGGACAGTCCTGGAATTTCAAAAGCCGTCCCGGTTTCTGCTTTGATCCCAGGCTGTCCCTATTTTCCCTGGTGCTGACGGCTGCGAGGGAACATCCCATGGCCTCTTCGTGGCCTCTCCATGGGTGCCACGGCCAGCCTCCTCTCTTGGGGAGCTTATAGCAGCTGCTGGAGATCAGGCGACAAGGAGAGGCTGCCATCGCTGAGACCCAGTGCCCTGTGATGCATCAGATCTGAGCGGCAGACAGAGTAATAATAATAATAATAATTTATTTATACCCCGCCCTTCCCGGTTCAGAAAACTGGGCTCAAGGCGGCTAACAACAAATTTAAAACACATAATTGATGCAACAAAAAAACAGCATAAAATGCAGTATAAAACGTGAATAACAATAAATTCAGAATTCAAAAATCAATTTAGGGGGGAAATCCATCCCATAAACATCAGATGATCACCAGGGCTAGCTGGCTAAATTAGTCCTATTTGGGCCAGCGAGGAGACCAGGGGAGAATTAGCTGTGGGATCCCAGAGAGGGTAATCTTCATAAAAAGGGGAGGGGGAGGGAAGGAAGGGGAATAAAAGATCAGGCTAAGTTCAAATTGAAAGCCAGGCGGAATAGCTCTGTCTTACAGGCCCTGCAGAAGGAAGTTAAATCCTGCAGTAAAGAGCCGCCCTGGACGGGAAGAAAGGAGGAGCAGAGAGGCAGGAGTCTTGATTTTTTTAAATTAAAAAATGCTTCTTTGTCTACTCAGTTTGGGGAGTGAGAATTGCCCCCATTTTCATATGAGGAATGTTGGAGGGTATGCACTTGTTGGTACAACTGGCCATGCTGAATGGATCTCAAGGGTCCTGTGCACAGTTTAGGATGCCTGGACCCATTGAAATCAGTGGGTGCCAAGTGTCCCTACATCTTTCACACAGGACTGGGGTGAAAGGCGGCTCAGGAGTTTTCCTTGGCATGCACAGATACCAGGCCAACTTTTTTCTTTCTGTACACCTCATTGAGCAATATTTAAGCATTAAACACACGTGAAATCACACAGACGTATACTGTACCTTTAAACAAATCAGTAAGAACAGGAATTCACCACACACAAAAGATAATCAGTGGTAATTTCCCAGTTGTAGTTTTCTTTCTTTTCCTTCGGGGAAAAAACTCTGTGTTGCTCAGATTGTGAGTCACTCCCTATCTTGGAAAATCACCCCGTATATAGTCAGTCACCAGATTTGTGGGACGGGGGCATATTTCAGACCCATTTAAGAGCCCCACATCACATCTGCCCCAAACATTTAAAGCAGGAGCCAGCAAACTTTTTCAGCAGGAGGGCAGTCCACTGTCCCTCGGATCTTGTGGTGGGCCAGGCTATATTTGAGAGGGGGGGGATGAACGTATTCCTATGCCCCACAAATAACCCAGAGGTGCATTTTAAATAAAAGCACACATTCTACTCATGTAAAAACTCCAGGCAGGCCCCACAAATCACTCAGAGATGCATTTTAAATAATAGGACACATTCTGCTCATGTAAAAACACGCTGATTCCTGTACCGTCCGCGGGCCGGATTTAGAAGGCGATTGGGCCGGATCCAGCCCCCGGGCCTTAGTTTGCCTACCCATGATTTAAAGCACATTTACATCGCATGCTTCCCAGAATTCTGGGAATTGCAGTTTCTTAAGGGAGCTGGGAGTTATAGTTTTGTGAGAGTTCCCAGGATTCTTTGGAGAGAGCCATGGTTTAAATGCCCGGACTTAGAAATCAGTTGCTTCTCTGAGCATCTAATGATGCAACTGGGCACCCAAGGGAGCTCTAACCCCCCCCCCACACACACACCTTGCGCTCTTGCCATAAACTGGACATTTCCCCCCTTTCACTATACAATATTAATACACTGTTTTTCCACTTAGTGGGCTTACCGGACAAATCGTTATCAGAGCCAACTAAAAATAACGTCTCAAAGACTCCCAGAACAATTTGCATTATTAGAGGCCGTGTGTTTCAGTACCTTGGTCACAAGCTGTGAAGAGCTTTAAAGGTCAGCCCCGGCACTTTGAATTGTGCCTGGAAACAGACCAGGCTCTTGCGCAGCCGCTCTATCTATCCGCTCAAAGCAATTTTTATTACTTTGCTTCTTGGTTGAAACGGCTTACATCCGTACGAATAATGGCAGCGTACGCACACACGTAGCGGCCCCTGAGTTTGCAAGGGCATGATTTGTACCTGTGGGCCCCATTTATTTATCTATTTCATAATGTAGACTCCTTTATGCGCAGGGCCTTGTTGGTGACACAGAGAGCTCCCTCTGCTGGTGGTGCTAGGAGAGGAGACGTAGAGAGTTAGGCTGCAGCATTGCAGTCTCTCTGTAGTCCGCAGAGTGCCTCTTGTGAGTAACTAGCCGCCTTCCTCAGAAGCGTCACTCGTGCCGGCGAGCCTCGAACCTTCACGGCATTCCCCAAAGGCTGCCCACTTTGCATGAGCGCTGCAGAGCACTCCTACCCGCCACCGGGCAAACCCACCCCAGCACGGCGCTGTGCCAGGAGTCCCTGCATTGCCACCTCGCGTTTACATCTGCATCGCACCCCTTCCCCACCCTGAGCACTGCTTTCTGTCGAAGGATGCCACTTATGGAGCAAGAGGCATTTTGTCTTAGCACCGCCAGTGTAATTCTGCCTCTCTCGCTGGGCTTCCTCCAACAACCACCTCTTGCTTCTCCTCTCCCCTTTTCTCCTGCAGCTGGTCCTGGAGACTTACAATGTCCCGGAGCTGTCGGACGGCGTCAACTGCACCTTTGGGGACCTGTCGGAAATGGACGGCGTGGTGCTGGGGAGCCGGATTCAGTGCAAGTCCCCCGCAGCCAAGGAGGTGCCAAAGATCATCACAGCGAACGGTGAGTCCGACTGTTATGTACTGAAGTTCTCACCCTGGGCCAGCAGGGGGATACTGTAGATAGTTATGCAAATGAAGGATCGAAAGTGACGTTCAGTGATTGGATAGTTTGTATGCAAATGAAGGATCGAAAGTGACGTTCAGTGATTGGATAGTTTTAGAAAATGGCAACAGTTACATTGTTCTGGAGCTCTATATAAGCAGGCTGACTGAGCTCCTCAGTTAGTTCTGTTCCAGCTTACAAATAAAATCGCTGTGTTGTCTGATATGTTCGCCCACAACTTAACACCGACCGAGTCTCCACCCAGGATGTTGTTACAGAGGCAGGGGGCAGAAACTGAATTCAGCTCCCATCTCAAAGCCCGCCACCTGCACAAATTCACTGTTGCCGGAAGGATGCACCAGCCGAAAAGCAGCCGTTCTTTGAAACCCACACGTCTCTTGAATTTTGCCAGTGCATGCTCACAAAGAACGCATGAGGTTCGGTAAAGCGTGCATTAAAAATTTGTGCATATCGGCGGGTGAAGCCATACAAAAGGCATTGTTTTAAGGGAAACTGCTTTGCAAAAAGGTGCGCATTAAGCAACATTGCGTACACAAACACAGAAATTCACAGTGATACATTTTCATGAGGTTTTTTCTTCTTCTCCTCCTTAATTAAAAAAAGTTCAAACTGATGCGGGGAAAAGAATTTAAGTTTAGGGGGGGAAAGGGAATGGAGAGAAGCCAAAACAGGCAGATGCATCCATCCCAAAATTCTTGGGATTTCCCTTTTCCTTTTGAAGGCGAACTGTGGCATTTGGGGAGGGCACTTAACCCTGCAACAAGTTTGGGGGCCGGTTATCAAGAATGCTTCTCAGTGAACCCAAGAGCTGACCTTGAATATCCTGATATGGAACAGGGGAGGGGATCATATCTGACATGTGCTGAATCCAAGCGTGCTCTTCCCCCTTGCCCAAATTTAAACTTGGGGCCAAGCAGGTGTACGTTGCTCCCACTGCTCTGTCCAGCCCTCTGAAGTCCCCAGCAAGGGAGGAGTAAAAGGTAAAGGGACCCCTGACCGTTAGGTCCAGTCGCGGACGACTCTTGGGTTGCGGAACTCATCTCGCTTTACTGGCTGAGGGAGCCGGCGTACAGCGGCCACTTCTGGCGAACCACAGCAGCGCATAGAAACACCGTTTACCTTCCTGCCAGAGCGGTACCTATTTATCTACTTGCACTTTGACGTGCTGAACTGCTAGGTTGGCAGGAGCTGGGACTGAGCAAGGGGAGCTCACCCCGTTGCAGGGATTCGAACCGCTGACCTCTCGATTGGCAAGCCCAAGAGGCTCAGTGGTTTAGACCACAGCGCCACCTGTGTCCCCTAAATCTAAGCTAAAAGGTAAAGGGACCCCTGACCATTAGGTCCAGTCGTGGCCGAATCTGGGGTTGCAGCGCTCATCTCGCTTTATTGGCCGAGGGAGCCAGCATACAGCTTCCGGATCATGTGGCCAGCATGACTAAGCTGCTTCTGGCAAACCAGAGCAGCGCACGGAAACACCATTTACCTTCCTGCAGGAGTGCTACTTGCACTTGACATGCTTTTGAACTGCTAGGTGGGCAGGAGCTGGGACCGAGCAACGGGCGCTCACCCCGTCATGGGGATTCAAACAGCTGACCTTCTGATCAGCAAGCCCTAGGCTCTGTGGTTTAGACCACAGCGCCACCCACATCCCTAAGGGAAGAGTAGCTCTTATTAAATGCAACGCATTTAACTGAGCTGTCAAAGTCATCAGCGTGGCAGATGGGCAGCGGTGGGGCACTCCGATGGCAAAATGTATGCAGGAGTGTGCATGTGCATGTGTGTGTACAGGCCGGCGGTGATGAGTTGTTGTCAGGTTCCCTTTGGCGTGATTGATTAATGACTCTCTCAGGTGAGGAAGAAAATAATAGAGGTGGAAGAGGGCAGGCGGGTTAAAGTTTTGCATTAAACATGTGCACCTTCCTTATGAAATTCCTGCAATTACTGTCATCAGCCAGCATCCTGGTCTGTTAGGCAGGCGGGGATGTGAGGCGGGAGAAAGGGAGGAAGGTTGTGGCCTATACTTACTGGAATGGGGTGGATGGAATTAAAGAAGGGGGCAGGAAGGCTCCTGTGAAACAAGGTGATTCCTGCATTGCGGGGGTTGGACTGGATGCCCTTCAGGGTCCCTTGCAATGTTACAATTCTATGAGTATCTGTTTCAAAGCACATCCGACGCACATTTAGAGATCTCCCTCCCCCCACCCCCTGGCCAAAGGATCCTGACAACTGTTGTTTCTTTAGGGTATTAGGAATTTCACTTCTGTGAAGGGTAAAGCTACATTTGTGTGCCAAGGCACCTGAGCCACAAAGTTCCCAGGAGAACAATAAAACACACTGGCACAGAGTATTTTCCTTTAAGGGTTCAAATAGGCCACAACTTTGTTGGTTACAGATGTGAGCGGTTTGGCTTAGGGCAGGCATAGGCAAACTCGGCCCTCCAGCTGTTTTGGGACTACAATTCCCATCAGCCCTGACCACTGGTCCTGTTACCTAGGGATGATGGGAGTTGTAGTCCCCAAACCTCCAAGTTTGGCCATGCCTGGCTTAGGCATTGGGTAGAAGCCAGGATATATCTTGACCTGCCCGTCTGCAGGGAGTACACACAGAAGGGTAAACCACCGATAGGGGGTGCCCTATAACTTACGTCAGATAGTGGCACCTGTGGGGTCCTCATAGGGCAGCAGTTCTCAACCTGTGGGTCCCCAGATGTTGTTGGACTACAACTCCCATCATCCCGAGAGAGTTCATAGCGGATGTGCATCAGCAGGACTCACCCAATGGTGGTTAACCAGACTTCAAGCAGACGGGCTGAAGTCAGATATAGTCGGTTAGGACCAATGCCTAAGCCAATACTGCTCATCACCTGTAATCAATAAAGTTGTGGCCTTATTTAGCCCATTAACCTTAATAATTGTGTCATGTGTCATTATTTCCACTGGGGGGGGGACTCGCCACGCAATGCTAACATGGTCAACCTCAGGCAATTTTATTCTTGCAATTAGCTGCAGGAAGAGCCATAGCTCAGTGGCAGAGGGTTTGCCTTGCAATCAGAAGGTCCCGGGTGTCATCCATGACATCTTCAGGTGGGACTGGGAAAGACGTATGCCTGAAACCCTGGACAGCTGCTGCCAGTCAGTGTAGACTTCACCCGCAAAGGCGCACTCTTCCATTCTCTCCCTAGACAGGCGGATGCCAACCAGATAGAATAAGCCCTGTTTCTTCTTCCTCTTCCAGGAGACCACCACATTGTCCAGCTCCAGCTCAAATCCAAGGAAACAGGGATGACTTTTGCCAGCACCAGTTTCGTCTTCTACAATTGCAGCGTCCACAACTCGTAAGTTTGCAGGTTGAACCACCAGTCCCTCTCCCCAACAAACTCTGGGAAGCGTAGCTCTTTCCGCACACCCTCCAACATTCCACCTCATCCTCGTCCCTGAGCCGGGTGCTGGCGGCACTGGCAAAGGAAATAGGGACATTCTGGGATCAAATCAGAAGCCAGGATGGCGTTCGTAATTCTGGGACTGTGCCTGGAAAATAGGGGCACTTGGAGGGTATGCTTTTGGGGGACTAGGGGTGTCTCCTAATAACGCTCAGCACCCATAACGAAACACGGCTCCCAGGATTCTTTGGGGAAATGATCAGGTCGCGCCCCTCTTTGTATAAATGTAAGGCAAAGGTAAAGGGACCCCTGACCATTAGGTCCAGTCGTGGCCGACTCTGGGGTTGTGGCGCTCATCTTGCTTTATTGGCCAAGGGAGCTGGCATACAACTTCCGGGTCATGTAGCCAGCATGACTAAGCCGCTTCTGGCGAACCAGAGCAACACACGGAAACGCCGTTTACCTTCCCGCCGGAGTGGTACCTATTTATCTACCTGCACTTTGACGTGCTTTGGAACTTCTAGGTGGGCAGGAGCAGGGACTGAGCAACGGGAGCTCACCCCGTTGCAGGGATTCGAACCGCCGACCTTCTGATCGGCAAGTCCTAGGCTCTGTGGTTTAACCCACAGTGCAATTCACATGTGCCGGGAGATCTAGCGTTCCCATGGCATGCACCCACCGTATCTTTAGCATCCCAGATTTTTGCACCACCCTTTTCCGCGACTGGTGCTCTATCGCAGACTTCCTCGCCCTCAAAGTGTGCTCTAGCTGCACCAGGAAGAGATATTTGCATCAGTTTGGCAATTCGCAAGCGACGCCAAATCCTATTTCCCCGTCTCTGCCACTTTGACAAACAGCAGCGCAGGTGAAATTGGAAGGGGGGGGGGAGAAGGGGGAGGTGGTTGGAAACCCGACTTCAGCTACCCAGAGATGCTGGCGTTTAAATATTTATGGCGTGTTTTGCTTTCCGACTTGACAAACTATAATACACTATCCATTTTTAATTTGATTTATCAGAGCAGGAGCTTGTTATCAATTTAAAGAACAGCCGAGTCTTCGGTGGATTGAAGCAGAGACAGATTTCACCAGCAGGAGAGGGAGGTGGAGTGTTTGCATGGGGGATACAGATGGAATAGGAATAACCCAGGGAGTTCCCTAGCCTTTTTCTTTCTTTCTTATTTTTTTACAAAAAGAAAAATGTGTACACAGCAATTATGAGATATTTGCTTTTATGTCTAGGCTTACATTTGCAGCGAGGAAGGGAAGTAGGGAGTTCATACGACAAGGACAGGGCAGAAAGATTGTGGATGCTGGGGTCTGGTCCTAGCATTGCCCTCTAGTTTCTGAGCCTCTGTCATGGCCAGGCTTCCTTTGAGGGTTAAAACCCTGAACACTGAAATTCTCAGCGATCCAGTTTTGATCCAACTGAGCTGTCATTACTGCATTGCAGGGGGTTGGACTAGATGTCCCCATGGGGTCCCTCCCAGTCTGAAAATTATTTGAGAAATTTTGGCTGGATTCATCTGCTGTATGCAATGCTTTATAGCCTACAGCTATGCTATGTGACTCGGAAACTACAACTAATCTAGAATGAGGCAGCTAGGCTGGGGACTGGGAGTGGCCACCGAGACCATATAACACCGGTCCTGAAAGATCTACATTGGCTCCCAGTACGTTTCCGGGCACAATTCAAAGTGTTGGTCTGACCTTGAAAGCCCTAAACAGCCTCGGCCCTGTATAACTGAAGGAGTGTCTCCGTCCCCATCATTCAGCCTGGACACTGAGGTCCAGCTCCAAGGGCCTTCTGGCGGTTCCCTCCCTGCGAGAAGTGAGGTTACAGGGAACCAGGCAGAGGGCCTTCTCGGTGGTGGCACCCACCATGTGGAACACCCTCCCATCAGATGTCAAGGAAATAAACAACTATCTGACTTTTAGAAGAAGGCAGCTCTATATCGGGAAATTTTTAATGTCTGATGTTTTACAGTTTATATATATATGCTGTAAACCACCCAGCAGTTGCATAATATTACCCCTCAGTTAGATTGCTGAAATGCATTGTACATGGGGCTGCCTTTGAAGATGACTTGGAAGCTGCAGCTACTGCAGAACTCAGTGGCCAGATTACTGAATAGGGCAGGATGGTCTAAACATTAAAAAAAACCCAGTCTTCGCTACCAATTGGATTATTGGCTCAATTCAAAGTGCTGCTTTTAACCTTTAAAGACTTACTCAGCTCAGGACCCCAATATCTTGCAGTCCTCATCTGAAGCCCTTCTCTATGTTCCCCCTCTGAAGGAACATGAGGATGGGGCCTTTTCGGTGGTGGCTCCCCTTTCATGGAATGCTCCGCCCACAAAGGTGTGCCTGGCATCATCCTTGTCTGTGTCCAGGCTTGAGGCAGAAACATTTTTATTCTCCTAGGCTTCTGGTCCTCATCGAGGACAGGACTTAAGTATATTTGTGGCCTCTTCTGCTGCTCGTCTTTTCAACGGCATGGGTTAAGTGGGGTCTGCCCCTTTTATGAGCCAGTGTGGTGTCGTGGTTAGACTGCAGATTAGGACCCAGGAAAGACCTGGGTTCGAATCTCTACTCACTCAGGAAGCTCACTGGGTCACCCTGGGCTAGACACTGCCACTCGGCCACCTTACCTACCTCACAGGGCTGTTGTGGGTAGTTATGAGGTGGGGGAGAGCTTTGAGCTCCTTGGAGAAAAAGGTGGACAACAAATAATTTATATATTTTTAATGATAATTTCAGTTTCCTCTTTTATTCTTGTACTTACACTGGGCATTAATGTTTGTTTCAAGCCACCTTGAGTCACTTTTGTGAAAAAGCAGCAAATAAATATTCATGCTAATAATAATAATAATAATAATAATAATAATAATAATAATAATAATTTTCTTTGCTCCCCTCCGCATTGTGTGGTTGTTTTCCCTGTGCCTTCTTTAAATGTCCAGATCATATTTTGCATTTGAAGTCTATCAATTTCCTTCTCCTCTTCTCCCTTCTGCCCAGGTGCCTGTCTTGCGTGGAGAGCCCTTACCGGTGCCACTGGTGCAAATACCGCCATGTCTGTACTCACGAACCCCTCAACTGCCACTTCTTGGAAGGACGAGTCAAGGTTCCTGAGGTAGGAATGCCCTGTGGGATGTTTGCCAGGGTCTGCCATCTTGCCTTTAAGGGGAATGGGTGGGGAGGAGAGTTTTAGAAACTTGTTGGCTTCATCTGAGAAAGTTCCAGGCTGGGGAGAGGGGTGGCCAAGGAGAGGGCCTTTTCTGTGGTAGCCCCTAAGTTGTGGAATTTTCTTCACATAAGGCTTGTCTGGCTTCTTCCCTGCCCGGCTTCCAGGCCATCTGTTATGGCTGCTTTAGCTGGGAAGGTTGGGGAAGACCCCAAAACAAATTGTGGAGGAGATACGGAGAGGAGAGAGTGGGACAAGTCTCATTGTGCAAGCAGAAGTCATTCCATCGTTATTGGGTGGAATACTGCCATTGTTCTTGAAGTGTGAGAAAGCTTTAAAGGTAAAGGGACCCCTGACCATTAGGTCCAGTCGTGGCTGACTCTGGGGTTGCAGCGCTCATCTCGCTTTATTGGCCGAGGGAGCCGGCGTACAGCTTCCGGGTTGTGGCCAGCATGACTAAGCCGCTTCTGGTGAACCAGAGCAGTGCACGAAAACGCCGTTTAGCTTCCCGCCAGAGTGGTACCTATTTATCTACTTGCACTTTGACGTGCTTTCGAACTGCTAGCTTAGCAGGAGCAGGGACCGAGCAATGGGAGCTCACCCCATCGCGGGGATTCGAACCGCCGACCTTCTGATCGGCGAGTCCTAGGCTCTGTGGTTTAACCCACAGCGCCACCCGCATTTCTGTAAAGAAAGCTTTACAGGTGCACCTCAAAAACAGTTCTTAGCATTATTTCTCAGACCTGGAGCAGATTTGGAGCATAGTGGTACAGCATCCCAAAGCCTCTTCTATATCCTATCTTCAATAACAGTTGCCCCCTAATGGACCAGTTGGAGACAAGTCTCCATTTAGTCCATTTTCACTCATTCACCTGATTAATATCCAAATCGCCATCGCTCACACAAAGCACAGGCGTTGGAAAGGCCTGTCCGCGTCTTGTTCAAAACTTCAGCTTGGCAATAAAGCAAGAATCTTTACGCCTCCGGCATTGAGCTCAATCAAAACAGGCTGACAATATGGTGGGATGATTTGTAACCGGGATACTTCACTCCGACGTATAATTTCCCTTTGAGACGGAGGCTTGGGAGAATTGAGCCCTGCTGGTTTGCAACACACTTGGCAACTCCGTCCTTTGTGGAATGAATTGTTGGAAAGGAAAGGTGGTGTTCGAGAGGACAAAGACAGAACCATTCTTAGGACTGGGATATTTATTAAGAAGCAGAGAAGAAGTGGAGCAATGGGTTGTTAATAGAGAGATCATGCCAACTTACGCATTCCCTAAGATTTGAAAGGGGGGGAAATGCAACAAAAGGCCTACATTCCTTCTTGTGGTTGTCAACATATCAGAAGGCAAGGATGGCAGACCTGTGACCACGCAGATGATGTTGGACCTCCATAAGAATGTCAGGAGAGCCTGTAGCATCAGGCCAGCGACCCATCTAGTCCAGCACCCTGTTCTCTAACTGGCCAACCAAATAGCTGTGGAAAACCAGGAAGCAGAATTCAAGTAAGAGTGCATAGTTAAACTATGGAACTCCCTCCCACTAGATGGCCACCAGGCTAGATGGCTTTAAGAGAGGATTGGACAGATTCTTGGAGGAGAGGCCTGTTGATAGCTGCTAGCAATGATGGCTAGGCTCTGTCTCCATGTTCAGAGGCAGCTATGCTTCTGAATACCAGTTGCGTGGTGAGTTCCTGCCCCCCCCAGTGGAAATAATGACACATGACACAATTATTAAGGTTAATGGGCTAAATAAGGCCACAACTTTATTGGTTACAGGTGATGAGCGGTATTGGCTTAGGTCCTAACAGACTATATCCGGCTTGAGCCAGTCTGCTTTAAGTCTGGGAAGGGTTAACCACCAGTAGGGGGAGTCCTGCTGATGCACATCAACCAGAAACTCCCCCGGGGTCACCGCTCAGGGGCGTGCCTTAGGCCCTCACCTCCTCAGGCTTCGGACAGGGCCATGCCCCCCAGAATCCTTTATCGGACTACCCTTCAATATGTGGGGCAGGTGATGGCGCTACCTCCCCTCATCCATCTACAGAGCAATACCAATGCCTAACCGCCAATACCCAGAAAGATGTGATGATTTGCTATGAGGTAGGCGAAAACCAAGTGGCTAGTGCCAATTTGCCAAGTGGAAAAATTTCTACCAGGCCCCTCAATGGTGAACAACCAAGGTCCGTAGCAAGGTCAAGGAACGAAAACCTTATAGGGCGGGAGGGTGGGAAAAACCGGAACAGCTGGCAGGCAGGAAAAGAGGGAGATCCCCGGCCGCGCCTGTCTTAAATATGTCAGGCCACGCCCCCAGAGCCAGCTGATTGGCTGGCCAGGGGGTGATGCGGCTGGGGATTCCCCCAATCACGCAGGGGCTGGGGCTGTGCAGCCCGCAACCCCACCTCCTCTGCAGGGCGGAAGTGGCTTTACCAGAAACCCCAGGAGGGGAGAGTTGCTCTTGTGCTCGGATCCTGCGTACGGGTTTCCCATAGGCATTTCGTTGGCCACTGTGAGAACAGGTTGCTGGACTAGATGGGCCATTGGCCTGATCCTGCAGGTTCTTCTCAAGTTCTTATGTTCTGATTTGGCCCTCGTGGCAGCGAGAAAGACCTCTTTCTCCCACCGAAACCTCTCCCCTTGCTACTTTCAACGATTCCTTCCTAGCACTGCAACCCTCCTGTATCGCTGGCACCGGCCGCATGCTGTAAGCTAGCCCGGTTTGAATGGATGGGATGAAGAAGTAAGCCTCTGTTGCCTGCGCTTCTTTTGCCGTGCGAGAGATGAACAGTATCTTGTTCAGGACTCTGAAAAGGATTTCAGCTTTGTATGAGTAGGAACCAAGTGGGTGGCGCAGGCCAGCAGCGGGAGATGGGGGGGGCGGGTTGGCGGATTGCAATAAGGCAGGCGGTAAGCAGAGAATAAAAGCTTGGAATGTGTAAAAAGAGCAGCTCCAGATAACAAATCTGTTAGGTCCTGGGCTTAAAAGGTTCTTAATCATCTAATTACCTTGAAGGAGTTTTTCATCTTTTTCGTGCGTAGCTGTTTTCAGGTGGTTGCTCATTCCACCCACCCACCAAAAAGAAAAGGGGAGGGAGAGGGGAAGAAGGAGGAGGAGGAGGAGGAGGAGGAAGGAGGAGGAGAAGGAGAAGGAGGAGAAGAAGAAGAAGAAGAAGAGGAAGAGGAAGAGGAAGAAGAAGAAGAAGAAGAAGAAGAAGAAGAAGAAGAAGAAGAAGAAGAAATAATATCTTGTTTGCTGCAAGTATTTCGTGCCAGCTCATTCATGCTTTGGGACACAAAAGAATGAGGGCTTCAAATATTAATTCATCCCAGGGTTTGGCAGATCCCACGGCTGTGCCTTTTCCCCAGAACAGCTGCTGCATGTTAGCAGGCCTTTAAGAGACCCTTCAGGTTCAAACGCGCTGATTTCCTTTGTCCCTTTCCCTCCACTTAAGAAGCGAGATTTGCCGCCCCTCTTGGGTCTCCGGAATGGATGCTCTCCAGATGGAGAAAGGAGGGTTCGTAACAGGTGCGAGAAGAACGAGCCAGGGAGCAGGCTTTGGGCAGCCAAGCAGAGGTTGCCCTGCAAAGCTGCCCAGAGAGAGGAGAAAGACTAAAGAGCAATAGATAAATAAGAACGTCAGAAGAGCTTCCTGGATCAGGCCCATCCTGCGCTCACAGTGGCCAACCGGGTGCCTCAATGGCAAACAGGATCTGAGCACAACAGCAGCACTCTCCAACATTTATCGAATGAATATAGGGACATCCTAGTTCATCATCAGCATCAGCATCATTTATTATCTACACACCACCCATTAATGTGGGAATGTTCAGGGGTGCAGGAGAGGATATATTGTCTGATTATAGCCTTTCCAACTTGTGTTAACAAGTTCACAGTTTAGCAGAGTAACATTCCCCTTTTTAAATGCACAGCGGATGCGTTTGCTCAGGCTCGCTAAAGCCTCTATAATAACAGTTCTGGTATTTCCCCCTTATTCCCTCATAAAAGATAAGACACGACACAGTCTTCTATAAAACTATGAAAAGAGTTTACTCACACATCATTCTGTTCACATTTGGATCCCAGAAGGCAGACTTAGCTTAGGAAAGTAACATATACCTAGAAACTATCTCATAAGAAGACAGTCCTTTGTCCTCTCTTGGCTGGAGGCAAGAGAGCATCTTTGGCTAAGCAGATGTTGCTTCTTCGATGCATGTAGTCAAAGAGACTACAACCGGCAAGTAGGACCCAAGCACAATAGCACACCCCACTCCTGCGGTTTCCAGAAACGGGGGTTCAGAAGCGTTGCTGCAAGAAAAGGGTGCTAGGCGAGATGGACCATTGGCCTGATCAAGCAGGATCTTTATTGCAAAAGAAGAAGAAGACCTAGATCAGGGCTCAGCAAACTTACTGCACCTCGGGCCAGTGTCTCCAGCGCCGATTGCACTGTGGGCCGGCGGGTGGGGGAGCTCATACCCATACGCATGCGCACACACGATTTCTGGTGCACTTCCAGGTCAGTGGAGCACTGGAAATAGCATGTGCACTGGCCTCCTCCGACCCAAATGTGCACCAGAAATAACGCTTGTGCATGCAGAAATAATGCTTGCGCGAGCGCAAAAGCTATTTGTGGTGCCCAGAACTGTGTCCAGTTCTGGGCACCACAGTTCAAGAAGGACACTGACAAACTGGAACGTGTCCAGAGGAGGGCAACCAAAATGGTCAAAGGCCTGGAAACGATGCCTTATGAGGAACGGCTAAGGGAGCTGGGCATGTTTAGCCTGGAGAAGAGGAGGTTAAGGGGTGATATGATAGCCATGTTCAATATATAAAAGGATGTCATATAGAGGAGGGAGAAAGGTTGTTTTCTGCTGCTCCAGAGAAGCGGACACGGAGCAATGGATCCAAACTACAAGAAAGAAGATTCCACCGAAACATTAGGAAGAACT